AGGAGTTGTTTTCTCTTCCATGTGATCTTATAAGTCAAGAATAGTAGATTTTTTGCCTACTTCCCTATAATGAAAATTTTTTTCTTTTAGATTTGGAGAATTAGGCATAAAAATACAACTTTTTTCCTGATGAGTTGAGGTTTAGGATCAGAGTTTTTCTTTTGTTTCAGAAGATGCTGTCTTGTTGTTTGTAGTCTCCTTTCATGTCTGTAAGTTTAGAGTTGTTATGGGAAGGAAGGTACTTGTACTTAGGAGTAGAAGGTTATTACTATCAACCAATTTATGTTTTAAAAAAAGGAGAAAAGGTTAGGCTTTAATTCTTTTCCCCCTTAAAAATTATCCTTCAGGTTTTTGTACTGCTTTGGAGTAATACTAGACAACAATTGTAGCTCACAATCACAAGATCCTCATTCAGTGGTCAGATTTTTCATAGTAATAGACACTTCATACTTAGTCAAGCCATGTCAATTTAGTGGAACAGTCTGGCATATTAGGTATTTCTAGCATCTTGTTTCATCTTTTATGTATGACCTAAAGGTAGGATCAAGTGTGAACAGAGAAAGCATTTTGGGTACAATGCTATTTTGTTTTAGGAATTAAAAAAAAAAAAAAAAAAAGGAGATATAAAGAGAAAGTGATTAAAACATAAAAAAGTTAAAATATAAATTTTAAGTCTACTCTCTAAAGCTTTACTTCATGTTTTTTGCATTTGTAGTATGTACAGAAACTACACATGCACATAATAAAATAAAATGCAGCTTCAGCTGGAGTGTTACTTTTCTGAGGGTGTACAGATTCTTCAGCTCTGCAATGGGAAGCCAAGCACACAGAGACGTTCAAACAGTGTGAGAGGACAGTGGAGTAGAGACTAGATATAAATGTAAAAGCTATCAGAAGATTGAGGAGGATATAAATTCTTTCTCTGGCCTTTGGTAATAGAGGCTGACAGGGAGGCATGATGATGAGAAAGTGTGGTGATAAAGTCTGTGGAGGCAGAAACCGGTTCTTACACATCTGTGTGAGATGCACAAGAAAGACCTCCACAAGTGTGGAGTAACTTTTTAAACAAACTCTTCCAATCTGTGACTTACAAATTAAACTTTTGCCACATTAGTGGGTTCTTAAAAAACAAAAGAATTGTAAAATCAAGTGGAAAATCCCATCTGTGATAGATACTGGAGTGGAAGAGAAATCCTGCCAAGAAAAAGTACTGTGAAACTAAACTGAATGCAGAGGAATATTTTGTTGTGACAGCAGCTAAGGTGCACAGGCTGTGTGCCACCTTCCCTGGGTGCCTTGCAGATGTTGTGACCAGACCTAATCCATTAGAGAGCCCCACTGTGGGTACAAGGTGTCTGTTTGCATGAGGAATTTGTGACTAGCAAGCAGGAATGTGGCACGTCTGACCATGATAACTCAAGGGGAATCACTTTATGGCATTAGACTGGGATATGGCAAGCTTCCGGTATTGGCAGGGCAGGAGTGTGTTAACAAGGGATGAATCAGATACATTCAAAAACTTTTTGGTTTATGTTCCTTGTGCTGTATATACTTCATCAGGAACCTTATAAATGTAGTCACTGTATGATCAGCTCACATTTTGTTACAGTGAAAGATGCAAGAAAATACCCACATTTTTTACTGAGAAAATACAGGTAAGAAGTCCCCTCATCTTCTAACAGCCCAAGTCTATCATAATTTAAGTAATGACAGATGCATATGTGTCTGCCAGAATGAGGCAGTCTGAAGCTATCCTTTCTGTCTGAGGCTAGTTTTTATGTTGCCAAAACATAACTGTGTCTCTTGCAAACTTGATGTCCTCTAGATGAAAGCAGACAACATTGGTGTGTAGTTATTTTAACTGTTAGAGGGGAAAGGAGACAGTTTGGGAAAAAACTCTTCCCAAACCTGCTCATGCTGGAAACTAACAGCTCAGGCAAAGCTACGTAATGTGGCATTGCAGACTACACCCATAGCAGCCTGGGCACAGTGGCTATTTAACAGAAATAAACCAGGCTGTGTTGCACTTTAGGTGTTTTTAGCTCCAAAGCAAAAAGGGCACATTGTACTACCTTTGGCATCACTGACAGGATTTGTGAGGCAAGCCTTAAGCTGTTCTCGAGGACCTTGCTATTACCAGACATGGCCTAGAAGAAGCTTATCTACTTGAAACCCAGCTGGTTTGGAAACAAAAATGTCAACAAACATAATGCTACGTGCAGGTAAAACCCCCCCCCCCCCCATTTTCTTTTCATTTAGGAAAGTCAAATTCCCTCTTACAAAATGAAGGGCTCCATTAAGGCTTCTATTAAAAGGAAGGCAGGGATGACGGAAGGACTCTGTCTTACAGAGTGCTGTTAACACTAGCCCACTGTGTTGGCAGGAAAGCTGATATACTGAAATTGGAGTTTAGCTGCCAGTAAAAATAGGTAGACCTGATCTTTGTGTTCTAGTTCAAAATTCAGTCATAGTCTGGGTTTATGTCAGTTTTAGCTTATTGAAATGAGTAATCAAAAAAGCAGGTGGTGGTGGTGGTGGTGGTTGGGAAGTGGAGTATACCCAGCAAATTTAAGCAGTGAGTTGCTTATAGAAGTTATTTAATTATCAGCATTGTGGTGTGCATCTTCAGGCTGGGTGATCTATGCCCATAATTAGCATTTTTTAGAAAGGACAACTTCACAAGCATTAACACACTGGTTTTGTACTAGTAATGCATAGATAAATGTTCCTAGCTGTATGTTACAACTATGTAGAGAATACACTCATGTTTATATAAACAGGTGAGGTACTAGCCATAAGAGTGGAAGAAGGAAGCAGCTTAATGAAGATTCAAGAAAATACCATTAGTCTAAAATCTCACTACCACAGAACAAATTCTTTCTGCAGCTGCAAAACCAACTTCACTTTTCAGCCACTAACCTAGCTCAAGATGACTCTTTCACAGAGAGGGGGACACCTGTCCACATTGTGTTTCCCACTTGCTTTTCAGGATCGATAAATAAAAGGTGTAACTCTGAGCACACTCATTTCGGTCCATATAAAATACTGCAATCTTGTAGCATTCAACATTTCATGCAATTATAGCAATACTAGACGATGAATGAAATAGGTTTGAGTTAAAATACGATTCTGCTAGCCTAGCAGTATGGGAAACAAGCAGGTTTGTTATCTGCAGTACAGGAGTTACCTTTGACCCTGTAAAATTTCTTGTTTCAGACAAGTGTCATCATTTCAACTTCTTTCTGTGATGTTTTTACTCTTCGGTGTTGGCTTTACCTGACATGGTACTTCTGATATCAGCGTCTCTTGTCTTCGCTCCAGATGTCTCCTAAATGAAATGCAGAACTACTTTTGCTTCAGTGAAATGAATAAAATTCAGACACCCTAGCCTATTTCTAAGTGACTTTCGGCTGATTAGCTGTGATAATCTGATTTTAAATATACACTGATCAAGAAATGTCAGCATAGTTATTCTCTTGCTCTTGTCCTGTATAGGCAGGGTCCAGACTTTCAAACCTCTTCTTACTGAGCAGAGCCCTAACCCTCAAGTTAAGCTTTCATTTCTGAGCTTGTCTAGTGCTTAAAACTGAGAATCTTCTAATAAAGCAACTCAGAGCTGCTGCAGCAAAAAGATTCAGCTAGGAAGGGTGTTAGTCAACTTGCCCATTCACTGACTCATGCATCCTACTTTAGATTACAGGGACAATATGTAATTAGAACATTTTTCTATTACAAGGGTGGTAACTGTGTCCTGGAATTGATGCTCCAAGTTCTTTCTAGATCTAGCCCTTACTTTCCCCATGCCAACCTCCTCTGCCTATACACACACCCCCCCACATGTAGAGTCACCTCCTTCCTCCCATCCCTGTCAGAATGGGGGTTTGATATGCCTATTTCCTGTAATCACTGCTTAAAAATTTTCTCCTCAAACAAAGCAGTGAATAGAGGTAACAGTATGTGACACTAGATGTTCTCAATTTTGCCAACAGCAGCCTGACAGAAAGTTACTTAATGATTAAAAACCTTTGACTTACTAGTTTGTGAATGGAAATGTTTAGGAATGTAACCCCTCTTAACTTCTTTACACCATGGCACAGTATAATTCACTCAGCCTAAGAGGAGGATACTGACAGCTTTATACAGGGACTCACTTCACACCTCCAGGTTTTCTTCTTATCTCAAAAGTTGCACCGTGCATTAAAGCAATAGTCTGTATTAATCTAACCTCTGACATTTGGGCCATATTAACCTATCAATGCAGGTTTATGTATCTCACACCTCAGACCCTATCAAAAAATTTGGCAGTGGCAGCTTGATAAGGACACCATACTTACTGAACTTGTTCTAAAAACATCAGCAAAACCACTACTCTGGTGGCACTTTCTTTTGACTTTGCTCACTTTTCTTTAGCTATTGCCCATATGGGTAATTCATGCTCCTGTAGATTCAGAACTGCTGCAAAGAAGGAGCAATGAAAATTCACGTTTATCTGTAAAAATATTAACATCCAGGGTTGTAAAATACGTGAAAAGTCTACAAACAAGTGGTTCAAGCAACAACTGCAGCACATTCAGATTCTCTTTTTGAGAATAACACTATCCATAATGTATTATTGGGAATAATTATATTATTGGAAATACTATTGGGAAGTTGGGATCTGTATTGGAATGTGTATTTCAAGGAAGGAGACAATTACCAAATTCTCAAATTAAACTCAGTTTGTTTCAAGAAAGCTGGGACCACTCTAAGGAGTACTGAAAGTGCATCATCTTAATTCTGTGAGAGTGGTTCAGGCAGGCAATGTTTACTGTTGCAATATTTACATGCCTTTATAAAAAAAAATAAAAACTAGTAAAATTGTACTTTCAGAAAATCTTAAGACCCTGCAGATGGGGTTTCTATGTGTTAATTTCACCCTTGCTTAGACAAATTCTCATTAATTTTGCTGAAAACTTTTTGATTACCATATATTGATTGAACAATGATGGTGACTACTGCAATTAAAGTACAGACAAAAGCCAAGTCAGCTGTTTTATTAAATATATAACTCTAAACACCTTTAGAGAGGCTGGACAATGAATGCAGTGAGAGCACATGACCGCACAACTTAAGAAACAAGTGATAGCTCTGCTTCAAAACTGTCTGACAGGTTCTTGAGAGATTCCTTTTCACACTTGTCCAGGGATATTTTTAGAATCAGCTTACAAAAGAGCCAGTGCTTTATTGCAGTCACTTTCCAAGGCAGCTCTGGCTAGCTTTACATTCCTTTTATCTCCTTTCCTTTTTTTCTCTCATTATCTTCTTGCTTTCTTCTCTTCTCCTCTTAGTTACAGGATTCCGTGGATCATAGATCTCAAAAGTGTCTTCATCTTGCATGCTTGCATCTTTCACTTTTCTGCTTCTGTCTTCAAACTGAAGTACATGTGACATCCTACAAAAATAAAACATAGCTCAAACTCAGTGAATGAATGGAAAGCTATAATTTGTAATTATGATGTGCATTGCAAGATTTTAGTATTATGATTTATTTTTGGGCACAGCAAAATAGAACTGACTTGGGTTTCTTTTGTTGTTAATTTGGTTTTTTTTCTTTTTTCTTAACAGACCCAAGTATTATAAGGTAACTACTTTTGTAAAGACCCATTTTGAAAAATACATCTAAATAGAGATAGAGTTGTGTCTGCTGAATTTTATTTCATATATTAAACTCTGTTTTCCTGTCTTTTTCTATTAAACATATCTTCCAAAATGTATGGCAATTTTTTCCCAGGAACACGGACTGTTTCTTAAGTTTCGTATTAGTCACTTTGGACTACATGGTGTACAGTTTTACAGAAGTGGGGAAGAGCTTACATGGAAACCACTTGAAGTGGTTTCACACAAAAGATCAAAAGGGGAATGCTTCAAGTCCTGCTGCTCCACATTAACTTGGCTCAGATCGTGCTTTGAATACCAGACTAAACAAATGCCTTGTTCAATTCCATGTTTTTTCTCCTGTTGATTAGTAGTTTTCCCCCATCAGATATTTCCTCATTTCAGCAAATTCCAGTAATCTGAAAACATCACAATTACATGACTGAGAAGTGGGACCATATGAACCGCAGGAGGCTCAACAAGGCCAAGTACAGGGTCTTGTACATGGATTGGGACAACCCCCAGAATCAATTCAGGCTGGGGGATGAAGGGATTGAGAGCAGTCCTCCTGAGATGGACTTGGGAGTGGTGGTTGAAAGCTCAACATGACCCAGCAATGTGCATTCACAGCCCAGAAATCCAATTGTGTCCTGGGCTGCATCAAAAGCAGTGTGGGCAGCAGGTCGAGGGAGGGGATTCTGCCCCTCTGCTCTGGTGAGAGTCTGGAGTTCTGCATCCACCTCTGGGGTCCTCAGCAACCACAACACATGGACCTGTTGGAGGCCACAAAGATGATTACAGGGCTGAAGCACCTTCTCCTATGAGGAAAGGCTGAGAGTTGGGGTTGTTCACCCTGGAGGAGAGAAGGCTCTGAGGAGAACTTATTGTGGACTTTCAGTACATAATGGAGTTTATAGGACAGACTTTTTAGCAGGGTCTGTTGTGACAGGATAAGGAGTAATGGTTTTAAACCAAAAGAGGGTAGATTCAGACTAGATTTAAGGAAGATATTTTTTACAATGAGTGTGGTGAAACACTAGAACAGGTTGCCTAGAGAGGTGATGAGTTTGTATGTATATTTATGTATTTTATATATAGAAAAGTTTGTATGTTCATTCTAAAAAAACCCTGCAAAACAGAATTAAATGATTTTTCAGGGCAAACACACAAGCCTAGGCAAAACCTCCACTTAATCTTTGGATTTGGTGTTCAACAATTTCAAAAACGTCTTTGACTTTGCTGGGACAACTAAAGAGCTATACTGATCTGAATCTAAGCATATCAATATTTACAGCATTAGATGTCTTTGTCAACAGTCCTTGTGATAGAAAATCCAGGAAAAATGAGTTGCAAAAGGGAAGTCTTGCAGCTAATGAAATACTGCTTTACTGGCCCCTTGCAACATGTAAGAGGTCCTAAGTTAAACAGGGTTTTCAGAGAGCTCTAGTGCAAATCTCCACATATAAAGAAAGGGAGGGAGAACCAGCTCAGTTACTGTAGATAACAATAAGTACTATTAAAGAAACCAGACAAAATTCAAAGCTATAGACCCTATAAAATCTGTCTAAATGCTTTAGAAAATTCCTAAAAACAAAAATTGAGAATTTTAATTACAATTGATTCTTGACCATGTGGGTTTCATAAACAATTAAGAGTCATTTCCAGTGTATAAAAGTTGGGTAGTTTATAACTCTGTACACACTACTAATACCCAAACTTATTTTTTAGTCATCTCTACAATTCAGAAAAACATAATGTACCATCACAGTGACTCATGATTGCATATTTGTAGTTTAATTATAAAAACATTGTCTCACAGTGGAGGGACTGAAGTAATTTATTTTAGTGAACATGCTTTCTGCATTTGTCATATTCTTCTCAACTCATTAAAGATGAGTACACGTACCAAATCACACTATCCTAGTCTGAATGAAAGCACAGGCCTAAAGAGATGGAGTCATCCCTTGGTGCATGGTTTTACAGTGTGTTATAGGAGTGTAAGTAGAAGTGTAGTCACACTTAGCTCTTCCACCAACTCAAATTTTCTAAGAATGCCATAGCACAGGATACAACTTGCAGGACACAACTAACAGGAATTGAAAGTAAATGCATCTCTAATTCTTGGGTCAGACCATGCTGTGGTCCCAGGTAGTTTGCAAATTAGATGCACTAGATTCAGATGAAGCAATGTTTACTTCTCCCCAAGAGCTGAAAGAAGTCACAGTCTCTGACTCTTACGCATAACTTTTCACTGAGACGTTCCCAGCTGTGATTAAAAATAAGCCAAAATTAAGATACTTTCTGATATTCCCAGAATCAATTTCAGATGCAGCATCTCATAGGTAAAGCAAAATAAACACAGACTGTGGTAGAGATTTAAAAAAATATTTTCCTGCTATGAACTTAAGTTTATTTTTAGCAAGTCACACATCTTCACAGGTAGACCTGTTCTGCATCTATGTAAATATTAAATCACACTGAATACTGTTTTTCAAAACCAACTGGAATTGTTCTATTTTTTACGGAACATGGGAAGTGTTTAATAATTATTTCTATATTAATTACTTTAATTTAAAATAATCTTACTCAAGCTCCTCCAACAGAAGTTTGTATTTGCATAATTTTCCAAGTGCAGAGTTAGGGCTGCAATTCCACAAATACAGGTTTCATGAGACTTTTCCTTGTTTGGTTTATAGCTCTCTTGCCTTTTGCATGCTCCTGGGTTCAGTGAGGAGCTGGCTGCCTAGTCACATTTCTGCAGTCACTGTGCTGAAAGCACTAACTTCATCTTATTTCTGGTCTTCAGGAATCTGTTAACTTGTGCTGACTGTTGACAGCTCATTTTAAACGAGTGAGACATTTAACTTTAAAACACACTTTTATTCAAAATTTAAAGGATGAAAGGTAGTCAGTTCTACCATGCAGAACTCAAAACAAACCCTAAGTTTTGCAGCTTAATATTTTTTGCGAAAACTTAGTCTTAATAAAATAGTTTGCCAAAACTGATGACTCTGGGTTTGAACTACCTAGGTGTGCAAATTGTTGTCTTTCTTTAGTAGAAATAACTACAAAATTATTTTCTTAACACCTGTTATTAAGAGAGTGCTGCAAATCAGAACGAGCAATCTTTGCATGGATGTATTGCTGGAGAGGGTTGATTTTTACTCTGACCAGATGACAGCATCCTACAGGTTTACCATGATCCTATCCCATGTAAAGCGGGAACAGCTGTTCTGCTGCACTGCACTTCTTTCCTTCAGTGTTACTAAAGAATATACAATAGTTGGTTCTCTTCTGTATTCCCAAGGTGGACTGTCTTGAAATGTTAGACTGAAATATCTGAATTAATTTAAGACAGTTTCAGAGACAGCATAGCATTTCAAAGGTAGGTTGCTCTCACAGCCTAGTGATATTCTCAGGTCAGCAAACAGAACTTTTGAACTCCTCTAGTGAGACAGTACTTGTAAGAAAATGATACACTGTAATCCCTCTGATCTTGAGATGTGTGAGCCATGCACTGGATCTGAACCATATGCCAGCTGCTGACAGGCGGCACTCATGTTAAGTGTAGCATAAAGAGAAGCCTGGTAATCCAGCAGCTTTGGCCTTTCCAGAACCCCCTTTGGGAGAAACTAAAGTGGCAACAAGTGAACTGAATAATTTTGAACCTTGACAACAGTAACAAAGCACAATGCTTTTGCACTACTGATGAAGCTCAAATCGCCAGGTATAAATGCACTCAAGTATCAGTGATTTTTATACTAATGGAATGAAATTGCAAAGCTGTATCGCCTAAGTCCACACTTGTTTTTCAAACTGATACAGCTGGTGGCTGTTACCACCTACCCTCCTGCCCCTTCAAACTCCTCTGCTCAAGTGGCTCTACAGAGCAAGCCTTGCACTCACTTGCATCAGCATTTTTAAGCAGTTGATCTTTGCATTAAATCATCAACAAGCGTGAACAAAAGTTACGCTCTGCCAACTCTGTTGTGATGGTAGTGGCTTCTGGCAGAGTGACAGTAACTTCTTAAGCAGTTTTAGGCAGGTGCCTGCTCTTTGAGGTGCCTGCATAAAACACTGCAGTTGGCGTTATACCCTACATTTTTGCACTAAGTAAATAAAACAACTAATCACATTGCTATGACATTTACAATATCAGAATTTTGCAAATTATGGTAGAGTTTTATGAGACTTTCCATCAGGATGTTAAAAACGAACACAGAAGAGTAAGTACCCGTGTCAAGAAATTCAGTGCTGCTTCTTACATTGTATAGGCTGTCTAAAAAAAAGGAGCCCGGTATGGACCATAACTACTGATACTACCATTTGTTTCCAAGTTCAACATTGCTTGCAAGTAATGTGCTTCCTACTTTTCTCAATTTCACAATGCATCACATATTTAAAAGAAAAACAATGCGAAAAACTCAAGCACTACTGCTTTCCTTAAATTATACTCTACTTGGCACTATAATTTTCCTTCAAATATTGTAAACTAGTATGTTAAACTGAAACCATTAATCATTAAGGCAGGAAACATTATAACACTTTCCTTCCATCACCCTGAAGATACCTAGGCAGTGGACAGAAACTAACTTTTGAACACAGACAAGTGAATCCACAGATCAAAGCAAAGGAGACCTCTCTCCCAAGGAAAAAAAACTTTAGCTGTTCTGGAAAAATGCACTCACTGGCACTCTTTTCACTCCCAGAAGAGTAGTGGGTGGCACAGGAGTAGAAGAGAGAGTTGAGAAACACAGAAGGGCAGTTACGAGACCACAAAAAAATAAATTGAGGAAG